AGGCGGCGGGGGTGTGCCACTCTGACACGGCGGCGGCGGTCGACCCCGCCGAGGGGCACCGCTCTGATACTGCGGCTGCGGCGCCGGATGATCGCCGGGAAATTCTACCGGAGACAACGACAGACTGTTCGGGCGAGGTTTATGTTGACGAAGAGACGGTGTTTGGGATGCCGAGGTTTCTGGCGAACATGGCGGAGGGGATGCTCTTGCCGCCGCCGGAAGTGACGTGGACTCATAGTGACGTGGAGGTCGAAGATGACGTGTCACTCTGGAGTTATAGCATCTAAGTAAATGATTTGATTTGTATTTTCTTTTTCTAGTATTACTTTGTTAGAAATGATTTTGGACCGAGGGAAGGGTCTTGCCGCTTTTGAAACTGCTCCGTACCTTAAATGTCGGTAGTACGGACAGTAAATGAAAACACAACAGTCAAAAGAAAGAGTGAGATCATATATGTATCTACTTTGTGTGTTCTAAAGTTTTAATTGAAGATATTCATTTTTTTTAAAAGTTTCATAATGCCCTTATTTTTTTGTTTTTCAATTATTTCCTATCCAGTTTTTGTATACTCCATATGAAAATCAATTTATCATATTTGTATTTTTTAGTTCGATATTTCTTATTTCATAAAAATATATATTTATTCGATTTTTATGGTAAAAAAAGAAAAAAAAAAGAAAGAAAGTTTTGTTCAGAATAGAATCTGATTTACACCTGAAAACGGGATTGATCCTAACCAACTTTGCACCTGTACCGAATGGAATCCAGGAGATTCTCCCGAATATTCGTATCGTTCCCCGCGTTTCCTTCTCCTTTCCGAATTGCACCCAAAGGTTTCAAAAAAGGATATTAAACCCCAAAAATCACCCCCAACAACCCCCTACGCCGTCCGATCATCTCAATTGACACAAAAAAGTAATCGAATCCAACGGTCATAAATAATAGGACAAGGACTTCCCATTGGCGTCATTAGTAATGCACCTCCACTTGTATAAATACCACAATTCCCTTGGCACTGCATCATGTTCTTAACATGATGTTTGAAAAAAAAAAACAGGCTTTGATCATTGAGAAGATCCAAGATTCTCTATCCAAAGAAGCGCAGAAGAAGAAGAAGATCATCTACCTAGGCGACAGAGCAGGAGATTACTGCCCGGCCCTAAAGCTCGACGAGGTTGACTACATGATGCCGAGGAAGAACTATCCGGTTTGGGACCTGATCAGTGAGAACACAATGCTAGTAAGATCGAAGATCAGATAATGGATCGACCGTGAAGCATTGGAGAAGGTATTGATGGAGATCATCGACGAGATTCACACCGAAGAAGAAGAGAGAGATTGCAAGATATCGGTGGGAAATGTGAAGTCGGTATCGAGATCTCACGGCCACTCCGACTCTCGTACGTGCGCGAATGAAAGAGACGACACCGGAGTTTTAACGAGTTCGGTTACCGAGTTTCCTCGGGCCTACATCTCGGCCGGACGGTGCCGGCGAATCCACTAGAATATGGAAGAGACAGCGGAGAAGAGAGAAACACGGCGGCCGTCCACACCAAGGTTGGAGGCTCACCGAGAAACCCAAGAAAGAGAGAGTACCAGACACTCACCGACCTTAACCTTGCTCGCCTTTGGCGAATCACCGCCGGTCTGAGGTTCGCGGTCC